TGGTCCTGTGTAGTTTTTGCTGTTGGTTTCCCTGAGTTTTGTAATGTGTAGGAAGTGTTGTTTGGAAAGAGGGTTCTGCAGATAGAGGTGTGGTGTCCAGTAACACCACACAATCTGCAGGCCCCCTTGCGGCACGTTGCTGTTGTATGGTCCTTTTGTCCGCAATTGTGGCAAAGTTTTTGCATCTTCATGATGTCCAGACGTTGTTCGAGTGAAGAGACTTCATTGCAGTTTTTCGCAGAATGTCCTGTAGAAACAAGGAGCTGAGGTTTGAAACTTCGTTGGTTTTCTATTGGACGTGGTCCCTCTTTCTTCTCTTGCACCCTTTCCTTGGTATTCTCCGATGTTGTAACCGTGGCGTTCAACTTGATTGATGATTCTCAGTTCAGCTTCGATGAACTCTTTTGCGGATCTCAAGAGGGCCACAGTGCTCCACGTTCCTTCCCCTCTATCTTTATTTTCAGAATCTGTCTATGAACGTCGACGGAAAACTTTCCAAGTAGCTGTTTCTGTAGAAATGTGTTATCGATGTGTTCCCCATGTAGGTGCAGTTGCGACGTAAGGGAAGTGAGTTGCTCGCACAACGTTTCTTGATCTTCGAGACTGCCACTCTCGGCTTTTGCCGATTACAGCCTACTCAAGAGTCGATCTACTAACGCTTGCGAGTCTCCATACTTCCTCTTTAGGTGAGCAATGTCTAGAGGATATGTGTGTCCGGCGACTTGGAAATGCTCAACTGATTCCTTGGCTGCTCCTTGTAAAGCATCAAGGAGGTAATTCATCTTATACATGTCATCGCTGTTTTGGGAATGTACATTGCGCTCAAAGCCTTGCCAAAAAGGCTCCCACTCCCAGATATCTCCATTGAACTTCGGTATCGGTACTGGATTGAGCGTGACTACTGGATTCCCAAGTGCGGTATTTCGTTCGTCTGAGCCTTTCAGTTCTTCCTGGAGCTCCGTGAGCTTTCTCAACTCGTTTTGAGCCTCATCCAGGATTTCCTGTACAGCTTCAGTGTGTTCCTCTGTACGCTTCGGTAGGTCCGGTTTCGAGTTTCCATTTGCGTTGTCGATTGCTTCAGCGTATCGGTCAATCGCCTCTTCAAGCTTTTGTACCTCCATTGAAATAGCTGCTTTTGCCTTTCTAATTTGCTTTTGCACCTCATTTATGTGTTGACCTTCATTGTTTAGATTAAAGTTACTTGTTTGTGTTCTGAGTAATCCTACAAGATTTTGTGCCCTTGTCAGAACACCTTGCCGTGTGGTGATCAGAGAACACATTTTTTTTCTCAAATTGAATGACAAAGAACTTGAAACTTCTGTTTAGGCAGCTACTTGAATCGTGACTAGTTACTCACGGTTGATAGGCTCTTCTTTAAGGATGCGGTGCCGATGCACCATGTAGTGATTGTAGTATCACTGAGTATTGCAGCCGGTGTAGTGTAGTTGTATCCTACAAGCTGCCACGCGGGTCTTCGGAACGTTTATTGCTACTGCTTGTGGTAGACCAACAACAAAAGGTAAAGTCAACCTTACCGCGGCAGTCTTTTATACTGCCGCGATGATAATAAACAAGCAAAGTAAAGAAGACAGTTCATTTTCACAGTATCACGTGCTGGAAATGGTTATAGAGTCTTCTCTATAGACCCTCAGGTAGTTTGCTAACTGGAAATTAGCCACGGTACCTGCGTTTTCTCGCACTGGTACCTTCCGGTGGTTTCATTAAATGTGTCTGCCAGCTGAGAGCAGATGTCAGACCAGTCAAATAAGCTTTCTCCTGCAGTACTGTAATTTCCCCTGAAGTGACTACAGTTTGCGTTGCGCAATCCTGCCTGGTGACCTTACCGAACTGTAGCTCAATCCTCTCCTTTCTGATGGGCTTGGTGCATCTAGACCTGATTGTTTTCTTGAGCTGGAAAACATCTGTTGCTACAAGTTCACATAACTCGTTCACCAGCTCTCCATCTTTCTCGACAGTTTTTATATACTCTTTCCATACTTCTTCTGTTTCTATTCCCCTCTGGGTAAGCGTATCTGTGATCTCTTCCATCAGTTTTTGCGGTATCGCCATACTGTCATGAATCATCTCACTCTCTAGTTTTTCAATAGCCCCAGATATCTGGTCTACGCTCTTTTCCAAATCAACTCTGGCTCGCTTGGGGATCTTTGTACTACTCATTATCTGTGTTATCCTTTCTAGTGCTCCGCCCACTCTTTTCATACATTCATCCCCATTCCTTCCTTCGTTTCTCTCAGTATCCTCCGATTTGCTTACCTCCTGTGTAGATACGGTGGTATTGTGTTCTTCCTCCATTATAACGTCTTCGTTATTTGGTTCCTCATTTTGTGTGGAGGAATTTCTCTTAAAGTTACCATTTTCTTTCTTTGCGTACTTTGAGAGGTTCTTTATGTCTCTGACTCTTTAGGTTCTTTACCTGAGTGTTCCTGCTTCCACTCTCTCTTCGGCATCCTTTCTTTCTTTGAGGTGCGAGCCCGCTTTAGCTATGGCTTAGTATTGCTTCTCACTGCTCCTTGAGCACTGAAGTATACATTTCGTAGTCGGTTCGGCTCCCAAGTTGAAGTAGTGTGTTGCCTACGAACTGATACTTCTGTGGTTAAATGGACCAGTAACACAATTTATTGTGCAGCAACTAACAATAACACAACATATCGAATTCAAATCACTAAGCTTTGAATCGCCAAGGTTTTCCTTGGGCCTTGACCTGCAATAGAAACAGAGTAGGATACTCACCGAGGTCGACCAATGACTGAGGGGAAGCGGACAGGCTACCAATAGGGGCGGAAGCACGCGCACAACTGAACTGAACTCTCCATGACTAGTCTCTCCATGGCTTGATAAGATATATCGTTCATGAGATACGTTAGCCTTGAGATACGTTAGCCTATCTCACTTCCCCTAGCTCATTCTAACATGTCCTTTTGGACTGGTTAGTGGCCTGTATACCTGCCGGCCATCTTCTCTTTAACAATCTCAATTTTCAGTGCTTTTGTTCGATTGGTTTGGTTAATGTTTCCAGATACTCAGTCTATGAAATCCACATAAGGCAGCGTTCCCACTTGTAGCGCTACGTAGCACTACAAGTCTGAACGCTGCCTAACATGCATATACAGCTGCATCCGGTTGAACAGAGCAGATTCCTCAACACATTCCACAGTTTTTGAAGCTGTTTTGTTATGATAACTGCTGTTTAACGCCGCAGTTCGCGTTCCGAGTGTTATCACAAGAATGCTGAGTTATGGGCAAAAGTCGTACCCCAGCGGGAGTCTGGGGGTAATATTCGGAACGCGAACTGCGGCGTTAAACAGCAGTTATCATAACAAAAAGCCTTCGGCCTCGCGGCTCATTGCCGATATCTAACGATTACGGCTTACCGGCTCACCAAGTTAAACGTGTGAGTGCTGTAAGGCTACGGCATAAAAGCCGTTAAGCTGAGGGGATAAAAGCGGCCCTGGTGGCGTAACAGATAGCGCACTCGCCCGGAAAGAGTGAGGGTTCGACTTCTCTCCGCATGGGGTACGACCCTTGCATATAACTCAGCATTCTTGTGATAACATTCCATATCCGTTTCATGTGATAACAGTCACTAAAGTGGGGAGTTACATGGAAACTTCTTTCGGGGAGAGAAGGGTCGCACCAACACCACTCCCACTTTTCCGCGACGTGACGCTTGACGCTGGATCGGCTCATTGTAGGCGCCATGAACGTCAAAAAGGCCTTTTCACGTCATAAGTTAGGTGACACTTATAACCAATAGACTAATACACTCTGTTCAGAGCATCGCAGTGCTTCCCTTCCAATATAATAGTAGCCACTTCCTTTACTGAGGCATAGCCGTATTTTGTTTATCAAAACTTCTTTCTAACCCCATTTCAGAGGGCTGTGCACCGGCTCTTGCTCAGGACGACCACACCTCCCATCCAAAGAAATACCATTAACGGCGATGGTTTTCCTTTTCTTTCATCTCTCACGTGTGATGAAAAAGAACATGCTTAAAAATTTATTACCGATACTTGATATTCGTACAGTACATTTCAAGATCTAAATAGCGAACAAAATACAGAAAATGCCGTGATGATATGAAATCTAAGTCTGGCCGGCGAGTTCAAACAATACTCTCTGTGTGAGAAAAGCAAAAACGGACGCGGATGTGTCATTCGTCATCAAACAGAAGCACTACATAATGAGCTAGACAGCTTCACAGAAGGCATTGTTTAGTGCAAAAATAAACAACGAATCAAATATGGGATAATAAACAAACAAAACAATAATATTGCAAACATAGTACTCCAATGAAGCATTAAACGATAAAACGCATGCTCATGCATGTGTCAGATCTTCGCCCTCAAAATTTGCGACAAAACATCAGACAAAAACTAACAGCAAAAGGAACGTGACACAGTTTTTGGACGTACACCTGCTGTTTTACTGCGTGGCGGCACAATGATAGTAACCGGGCACAAGTGATCTTTTGGACTAATGGAAAAAGTGATATGTTTCGGCGCTTTCTTCAGCTACTAGCCTCAAGCTGCTTCCCTATACTTTGTGATCAGCCAATAATTTCTTATATTACAACCGTTTTCTATTCAATGTACAAGCATCAGTGATCGAATTCGCGACCAATGCTAGAGCCTTTTCAAGAAAAAGGGTGGAGCGCCTGGACCATGTCTTGGACGGAACGCGATGAGATTCACGAGTAATCTCCTATAACCCTCAAGATGTGTTGACACTGTAAAAAAGCTCCTGATCCTTTGATGGTTTCACTGCTGATGCTAGCCTGTGAAGATTTTGGTTCCGTAAATGACATTTTCTAAGGGATAAAACCTGGGGCTCTCCACGAAAGTATTATAAATGTCCTTGGTGCATGTGTTTCGTAAACAAGGAAAGGCACTGTGACGCACAAACGACCGACTGATACGAGGTTGGCCAGAGAAAGTTCTAAAAACGGGAGAAGCGCAATCATTTACCATCAATGCAACACTTCAATTGTGATTCATTCGCAACGGTTGAGTCATCGACATTCGATTGCTGGTGTGCGTCCGCTCGTGTTTCGTGAGATGATCAGAACGCATGAACTTCTTACCGCAATGGCCACACGCGAATCGTTTTTCGCCTGTATGCGTGCGACGATGCCGCTGCAATTCGTCGCTTCTGAAATATCGAAATAATCGTCTAGCTCAAACTTAAGAGTTCTACTTGACTAGATTTCGCTATAGCGGAAATTACCCATTGCAATAAAGTCTGTGAACTTTTTTTCGAGACTATGTCACTGGGAATGAAGCGATCGTACAGGAGAACCAGCTAAAGCTGGAGCAGTTAGCAGAGCTTAGTAGCTAGTATATACCAAAATAACGTATTCGATTGCTTTGAGCTTATGGACTGTCATCACTTTACACCAGATATTTAACTACCAAGCTAGGCACTACCGCCCGCAAGCCCTCTACTTTTCAGCATGATCATGCTGTTCTAAACTTCTGCTTTGCGACTTCGTTTGACTTTTGCAATTTCGCACGTACACATCGACTTAAAAGGGACGGTACATCGAAACACTAACAACTCTGCCCTTCCTACGTATTTCAAGTTTCTTCAAAGAAATTGCTTATACACACTCTTCACACAACAAAGGTAGAGACGTCCACTTACTCACTATTCTCCGCCCATTTGACCTGGCTCACTTTTGCGTCCTGCAAAATTTTATCCCTTCTACAATTTTAATAGCTTTGGATTGCTACTGGTGGCCCCGCCCACTTCGCGAGAATTGCGCCCACTCTCGCAACATGCTTCACATTAGCAGGTTAGATTCTCAACTAGTAGGTCAGGGTCTCGGAAAAATTTTGCTTTTATTCGTTCCCGACAAAGAGAGACATTGGCCGGCTAACTGAGACTCTAGCCTGTCTATTCAGATCACTTTCCAAAATGGAGAAGCCCCTGTGTAAAATTGCATTAAGACTTTTTAGTTAGTCTGTATTTGCGAAATAGCAAAGTCAGAAAAGACACAGAAGCAGAAATCAGAGAATTAGCATTAAACAATCATGACCGCGATAGAATGTATGCGTGGCTTACGCGGCGGGGCTTGCGGGGTGTCCAGCTGATTAATTTTTTGCTGTAAAAAGTGGTGGATCTGGTTTGAAAACTGGTGGATTCGGTTTGAAAAAGGAGTTTGAAAGTGGTAAATCCGCTTTACAAACGGTGAGTTCGTGTTGAAAAAAGGTCAGTTTTTTTGGAAAATGGCGAATTTGGTTGAAAGTGGTAAGTTGCTAGAAAATGCGAGAAATTCGTTTGAAAAGTCGAGTATTTAGAATGAAAACAGCGTATATGAACAAAAACTTCCCTATACAAAAAACCCACTGCCAGTGAGAAAGGACTTAATAGATCACAACCAGCGAATCATCAACCTGAGCCAACACTTTGCGCGGCTACACAAATCTAATAAACGATTCTACCGCAGGAAGTGACTCTTTCGAGGTGATTTAGCAGACAACAATAATTTGCAATCAGAGTTGCTATTACTGGGAGGCGTTTTATAGACAACTTGAACAGAATTTGCGTTAGTACTTTGCATTTACCGAGTTTCGATTTATCTGGTTCGATTACCTCACCAACCACTCACTTGAATTCAACAGCGCCCACTACACTACATCCGGCTTGACGACTCTCAGCAGGAAAATACGAAAGCAACGGCGTTCTGGAGTTTCCTATTTGCGTTGTAAGGAATTGGAAAACTGCTCCACTTGTCTAATCAAAAAGTCTAGGCGTGTATGGCACCTTGAATTATTTTTGAATCCTCCATCAAAGGCGTAGCAACTAGATGGATGCGCTTGCGCTAGCCTAAGGAAAAGTTTAACGAGAACTAGAAAGAACTTTACCTCGTGAAACGTTTGGTGCAATGTTGCCAATCGCAAGCGAATGGTTTGTTGCCTGCATGTCCGCGAAGATGCGCCCTGAAAATGTTCCATTTATCCTCGATTGAATTCAGTGAGAGAAAAATCAATACTAAAAATCCAAATCAAAAAGCAAACAAAATTGTTTTCACCGAGCGCTCGCCATAAAGTAGCTACAAACCTTAAGTGAGATGTTTTTCCATAAGTTTTCTGGCAGATGTGACAGATATGCAGACGCTGTTTCCCATCGCCACTGAAACGTCAAACAATTATGATAATTCGAACGTACCCTCCACCATAAATATCTCTAAAACAGTGCTACAAAATGCTACAGATCAGTTGGCGTGTCTTCCAAGGGCTAATTAACGTTTGAGTATGTCTTCAAAAAACTCACGTCCGAGGAGTATTCGAGTTTTGGCAATTCGGACACGTGCACGCACATCGTTTGGGCACTTGACTCTGAAAATTGATTGACTCTGTTTTCGAGGCGAACTGTGAAGATAATTAAAAAAATTCAGGAAGGATAATTAATAAGAGGTGAAAACAATGTTGTGAAGAATGCAGAACGATTCAAAAGGAAATATTCAGCCTCACATAGTCGCCCCAAAGACGGTGAATTGTGAACTTCTGAGGGAAGGGGGGAAGCCTATTGGAACAAGCAAAGCGAAAAATTTGCTCACACATTATACCACAGTAAGTGAAGGCCTATCTTGAAGTTTTGGAAAATGATGGATAATATTCAAAAAATCTTTCACATATGTCTGTCGTCTCAGGTTAAGAAAAATACACATGCATTTATAATGAGTTATGAAAAATGAAAAAAATTATATTCAGTAATTACATCGTCAATCCCCATCTCGTATTCGCCAACCATCATATTGGGCGAGTCTCCGCCGCCTGTCATTCTAACAGTCTGATTGTGGGAATGGTTCGATGGCTGTGTTGAAGGAGTCGTGGCAGCCGAGTCATTTGTAATAATCCATTTCTGTGGATCGTTAGGATCTTGTTGGAAATGCAGATTACCTGAAACATTTCGTGATATTCTTGCTAAAAAGTATAGACAAATAATAAGTATGACATGTTGAACTGAAATCGAAATGCCGCGGTCTTTTTCATACGGACGTTCTAGCAGACATTTGAGCGGACGTTTGCGCATCAGATCCTTTAGCTACAGCACATCCTCACTACCTCTACGTGGTCCGCCCACTACTTAAACTTAGTTCTTTTGATCGGGTTCTAGACAGCATCTAACGACATTTGACATCTTATGACTTTTGTGACAACACCCTTCAAACGTTTCACTTACGATAACGTCACCACCTCAACATGCCACAGTTATCCATTTCTTTGGACGATTCATAACCTTCAAAGTTCAAAAGCCCACAAACAAATGTTCAAAAAAAGGCAGATAAACCGCGGAAGTGTTCAGAATGCATTCTATTCCGAAGCGATGATCAGCTAAGGATGGCCGAAGTGGCTGTTTGAAATGAGATGTATACCGATTGAGGTGTTTTAGAATGGTTTTTACGAATTCGCCTCCCATATCTGTTGCGGACCTTCCTTAACAAAATTGCGGCTATTAGGGGGAGCATATCCGCCCCAACACGAATATCGGCCATAAGGCTGCTTCGAATTTTGTATCGTAGACAGTATCACCCCGCCTGCAATTCGATTGTAATTCAAAGCACTTTAACTGACATTTAGCAGCTTTACGCCCAAAATTAGTTTTGAGTGTGTTTGCCACCTCTAAATGTCTGCGTAACTTCAGCTAGCTGCAGATGTGGAACACGGATTCTTAATAATCATCGATATAAGGATCAATAAGTGATGGTAAGTTTTAGCCAAAAAATCATCTGACCAAGGGTTATCCTCTGCTGAGATGGTGTCTGCGATATCGGCGTTCCACCAGCACGGCCCGAGTCGAGGGTTTCCATCTTAAAATTCAGATATAGCAAAAACCGCGGTAAAGCGGCATAGTAGGCGAAGCTGCACAAACTTACATACCTGCGCAACATTTATGTGTGTGTTGCTGTTCGTAGGTTGCATTGGACTTAACATAGTCATTTGTTTCTTCTGCGTGTCGGCCGGAATTTGAACCGGAATGAAGGTAAGCTGCAACAGCAAAACAGTTTATAACACATTTGGTACCTCAATGTGCAAATAATGGCCAAATCAAAACAAGACAAGAAGACTAACGATTACACTTCAGAGCTCTTGCTATTTAATAAGCCGTATGTTGGCCGGAGTTCCAGAGATAATGGGACTACAGTGCAAGGCAAATAGTGAAAAATTTAAATGTAGTATCTTACACTATCTGCATTTGGTGCTACATACCTGCCCCAGCTATCTCGCAAATCGTGGTAGAAAGGTTCAAGAAAGGTTTCAGTAACAATACTGATGAATAAAGGATAAAGGAGAGTCTTGGCCGTTGACCAATCCCTTCTGGGATACGGCACGCATTGCACTTCCGTCACCGGTACTGTGAGCAGTTACACACCAAGGAGTACTCTTTATATTAGTACCACTCACCTGACTCCTGCTTATTCTTCTTTTATAATATGGACAAGAATGGTATTCGCCACCATGGGCAACGACCCTCCAAGCGCTTCCTCAAACTCTTTCCTCTATTACTCTTACGCAAGCATGAGAGCTGTCGCGGCCAAAATGATGAAGAGGCATGAGGGCGATGATCTCAATAGTAAGACTACCTCCAATGTCGCTCATGCTTCCAAGCGGTCCCTATTAGCTGAGATGACGAAATGAGGTCTGCGTTATATGTGAGCTTACTTTGAAGGAGCTGCGAGTCGTGAAACTGCTGGATGAAGAAGCTGCTTCCTCGGTACCCCCCCCCCAGGCAAAGCAGTTGCGAAATCTGAAGGGGATCGTCGATAAGAGGGGAAAATTTGTCCGCAGAGCCTGCCTTTAGCGTGACAGGGCAGCCCATCCTTTCCAAGAGGTCGAGCCGAAACACATGCAATAGAGCTGGATGGCTCTCTTTCTCTCTTTGCGCCGGTGTAGCGCAGACATTGCTCCTTCTAGCAGTAAGTCAGAATCGTGATGATGTTCAACTTTGCATCGCGTCGCCCTGCAAGAACTCCGCAATAACAATGCTGTATAACTTTGATCTTGTATGCCTCTCTACTAAAAAAAGCCTAATTTGAAGGAATATGATCGAACTTTCCCGCCAACCCAATACAATCCAGGTCCATTGGCACCCTATACAGATGCGATATCCATGTTCAGGAGGCCAGACTACTCAAGGGAGCAGAATTTCAGGGAATTTGGCGACGTAGGATGTTTTGACGCCGGTGCTTCTGGCGCAGGCGCTAGGCAGTGTCAGGCCGAGTGGACGTTATAAACATGGCGGAAACGAATTTTCAGCCAAATCTTCCCTCGAAAAAAAGCGTCGGTAAGAATTTCCCCAAGTTTTGGGAATAGTGGGTAGGACTGCTAAAGATTGCTTGTGCTTGTCCTAATGGTACACATGCCACAAGGGTTTTCGCACTGAATTAGCGTGATATTCATATTCAGCGGGTCAAATAACACCTGAGAGCAAGGTCTAGCCAAATCTGAGATTTTGACCCACCTTGGAAAATGTGCGGTATTCAATGGGCAATAGGGAGCTCACCTACCCTCGATAACTGACTCCGAGATGGAATTACTTCACGGTAAGCAGGAAACTGATGTAGATTATGCGAATACGTGAGCCAGTTACTGTTCTTTGCGAAAAATGACTGAATGTTTGTCGAAGACCAGTCATCGGTAGTAGGTCAGACCTAATAGTACCACTGGTGGATGCTATTCTGCCATGGCTAATCCCACCTTTTTCAGAAGTTGAGTCAATATCTCAGAAGTCTCTAAAAGGCCCTCTTGGGTGGTTATTTGAGCCTCTGAACATGGATATGAAACCTTCTTTGCGCGGAAAGTGTGGTAAGTTGTGCTACAGCTGCCACCGCGGCTTAGCGAAAAAAAGGAGAAAACCTCCAAAACCTCTTTCGGATAATTCCTTTTTTTCCACAACTGCCGAAGGTAAATTTGAATTATTGTACTAAGATGCGTACAACGGTGGCACCTCATTGCAAATGGTCGGACTGACCTGTTGGCCTTTCCTGGTCAGAAAAACTATGCACCAAGGTATGTTACGGTTAATCGGCCAATGATCAGCATTTCCGCTTAAGAATGATCGTTAGGCAATGTTAAAAAAAAACTTGTGTACGTTGATTAACCGCAACGATTGTAACTCAAAAGTAACCCAGGTTTTTTTTGTGCCTGCAAGGTTTACGATGCGCTTCAGGCACGGTGTACCTTGGTCCAGAGCACCCAATGCTCTTCAAACCTTTGCGCAAATTTTCGGGTGCGGGCATTTATATACCCGAAGTTGCATGGCTACAAGGGACAAGGTCTCGACATGGACAACAACTTTCCCAACTTTGTCCCGCCATAGATTTAAGACGGGAGCACTGCTTTCCAGTTAAACTCTCCCAATGTCATCAAGCATCGGTGTTGAATGTATCATCGGATGGTCATACGTAAGACCTCAGAGCCATTACTTTCACTCTGCCTAATTTCTACCTTAGTAGAAAGCAATCTCCACTCTAGTTCTCTGCGGACAATTGGGCGGTCAGCCAGTATGAGTGTGTCACCCTATCGAAGCCGTTCTCTGCCTTCTTGTTGAGGAGCGCATGTGACAAAAAGTGGTAGAGGAATAGTAATACGAAGGGTATGACATAATATTGTTACTTGCCCGCCTCAACAACGTATGCAGAACGAGTTTGGTACCCGCCTAAAGCAGCCGCACTGACACGCCCAACCGTTCGCAGCGAATTACGCTATAACTTAATTCTTCGTTTTGGAAATTGTGAGTTTAGGTGGTCTCGATAGCTCTCGAACAAGAGAGAAAACATCATCCCGAAGCTCAGGAAGAACTGCTGAAGCTCAATTACACTCGTCCAAGTCGAGTCCCCGCCCTACAGTGGCCACGCCTATCCGGGTATCTGAAGTCCGCCACTCCAAACTTTCTACCATGATCCGCGCCGCCACATGTTGGCACCGAGACGCAGCTCCTTTATTCCACAGCTTCTTCGTTTATGTTTGGCTAGAATAGTTATACCGTTCAGTCATTTCTTTTCACCACCTGGCACTGACCGACCCATCCGACATGAATGATATCCGAAGAAATAGCGGAGAACTCTTCTGTTCTTTGAGCTCTTTTTATCCTCCCTCACTTCCTCCTTTCTATTACATTCTTGTCGGGGAAATGGCTGCCCTCTTAGTGCAAACGAAAACAAACAACTGAAGCTCGTACTATTTCATCCCTCATGGGAACCCCTTGAACAGAACTGTGTTCATCCGTCTCAGGATAGTTGTCCACTGTAAACCCTTTCTTCTGTTCCTTTCTTCTTTCTCTCACCCTTCCTTTCATTCTACCTTCACCAGCTGGGTCAGTAGATTCCAAGAGAATATCGGACCCAGTGCACTTCTTGTTGAAGATTTTAGTCGAATCTACGACCTCGCACCTTTTTTGAGGGTTGGTACGACCCCCCCCCCCTCCGGCCCTCTGTCCCTCCTCATCGAATCGAGCCGTCGAGTGGGCGGGGGGAGGGGAGGGGCAGGCAGGAGAAAGGCGGGGGGACACATAGTACGCATGAACCAGGAAAATCACAAAATGTCAACCACGCTACTACAACGCCAAAACATAATTACGACCCCCCCCCTTTTTTTTACACTTACGTCTGTGAAGCGAGAAAAATCGAATATCAAAATAAATTTTCCCCAGCCCAAATACACCCCCCTCTCCTGGCGGACAAGTACGACCCTCCATTGGGGATTCGTCAACAAAGATGTGCCCTGATCGGACCTTCACAGCAAGAGCATGTGTCACCAAATAATAATAACGGCAATTTCTCAAAAGATTTAGCAACTCCAAATTTTAAGGAAAAAAATGTGCTCATAAACCTAAATTGCTTCTCTGAAACCTTCATTTACCCACACGACATTCAAACAACAACCCCATGCACCAATTTCACAGCTCATTCCACAGACTGGAATTCTTTCCCTTTACCTCTAGACAAAACATGGGCAGTGCAGTGTGCTTTTAGATCCTTGATTCGAAAGTGAACTCTAAATAGAAGCACTCCCGCTGTCTCTGACGGAATTCGTATTTCAGATAACTATCCGTCAACCTCATTAGCGTCGAGTTAATCAATATCAAAGGAGAAACGTCAACGAAAAATCGATATGCACGCATGGACCGATCCGTCATTCTCACCTGTTGCTGACCGGTGTTCGGCTGCAGCAGATAGACTTGTTGAGTAGGTTGTTGGGCGGCATGAGGAATCAAGATCACCTAAAAGGGTAATGGATTGACTGGCTGGGATACACTACACTTTCTGCACGATAGGTACGTCCAGTGACACCTTCCACAAGTTTCAGAATAGATAGTTTACCTTGGCGGGTTGCTGCTGTCCGGGTGGCTTCGGAAGGAGGGGCGGCTCGGCCATCGGGGGTGGGGCAAATGCCGGACCGCCCGCTAACGCAGCACGCCCCGCATCGCCACGCCCCCATCCAACACCCTCCTCGGTTCGCACACTCCCTCAGCGTCCTTCTGCCGTCTCATCGATGCCACACGCTCCGTCGTTGCGACAGTGCCCTCCGCGTCTTGCACACTCTCTCGCTGCCCGCTTATCGCCGCTCTCCCCATGTCCTCGTTTCAAACACGCCCTCACTGCGTCTCCCCCAAACCATGCTCTCTCGCTGATATCCCAACCATCTGCTTCTAACCGCGATTGTTGTCGGGTTTGCGTCTCCCCTTCGACGTGCGCCACACCTCTTTCGCCCCATTCGTCACAGTGTAAATTACCGCAAAGTAATCAGAGCTTTGCTCTGGATGACGTCAACAAAGCACCACATCTGAAGGTTGCTAGCGATACTTTTATCAAAAACAGGCAACAATAGAACAGCGTTAACAGATTTCGAACAGCGAAAAACATTTCATGCAATGATCGTCACTTCTTTTTCGCTCCTGTTAAACCGGCTCCAGCATTGAATTTGAAGAGGATAACGTCGCCGTCTTCGACCACATACGTCTTTCCTTGCTGTCGATATTTTCCGGCTGCTTTCACCTGAATCAATTGAGTCAATAATTAAATCCCCAACATAAACGATATCAATCCCAGTCGGGACTTCAGCCACGAAAGTACGACATTAGTGGTTTTTGAAACCACACTCGGACGCCCGGCTAACGCCGAGCTCTCCTCCTTCCCTTTAGCTCGGCTTCGCCGAGCTAGCATGGCTTCGCCAGGCTCGCTCCATAATCTTAGTGGAACGTTTTCAATAGTGGGCTGCTCATACGGCGATGTAGTGATCAAATCATAGCAGATAAAGCAAGGCTTGGGATCGTGCGCTACTTAAGTTAGCACAGGCTTCCATTTACAGCAGGGGTGTGGTCCGCGTCATTACGCCCATACAATACATAAATTTGTAAATATAGATACAATGTGTAGTCGGCCAATACAGGGCAGTATGAATCTAGTAAAAGAGCAGATTTCGTTTCCATAACCTGCACCGAAATGCCTACCGATGTACGTTTCCCTTTTCAATTAGCTTGCAATCCGCTCGCTGACCTCCACATCACATTATATAGTAGGATGAGTTCATTTTCTAGTGCTATCATAGAGGTGTCAAAAAAGTGATGGAAAAGGACTAAAGGAAAAGTTTGCACACTGAGCCTTCAATACTTGGCAGTATAGTGATAAGAGATGTAATGAGAACGCCGCCTTATCTTTCTTATCAATTGATAATATTGCCTGTCACCCGTCAACAATGTTCCTATTACTACTACTCTATAATTTGGTAGTGTAAAGGCTCCATCACTTTGACTGAGCAACAACTGCAACGTCCTCATCAGCCCCTATCAGCTGTTATCACCTCCTGTCACCTGCCGCCGATGTCCCCATCTCCCAATCTACATCTTTTCTGTAATCAACGCCTAGCTGATGCTGTGTCCTACGTTATGAGTATGGTGACCTTACCGTTCTAACTCCCCTTATCATATCTTATCAGCTGATATCACTCCCTGTCACCCATCAATAATTCCTGTCCCACACCCTACACCATACCTTGGAACCAACGTCCCGCTGTTGCTGTGTCCCGCACTATGGACTCGATGGCCCTCCCTTTCTGATATCGGATCTTATCAGCTGATATCACTCCCTGTCACCCAACAATAATGTTCCCGTCACAGCCTCCATATCACTGCTTGAATCAACTTCCTATAGCTACTGGGAACGGCGCTATGAATTTCGGGACAGACAGACAGACAGACCCACATGCACACATGCGGACATACATAGCCGATTATATAAAGTAGGATGGTTAGAGTCAGATGATGTTGCCCTTGAACGTTAGTTAACATTGTGGAACAGTTAACAACTTCAACCCCCAAATTCTTGAGCACGTCATAGAAGTCGACACTATCCGAATATTGAAATCTGAGAAAATCATCCAAAATCCGTATTTTCGTTCCAAGACAGGTTTTCAAAGATCATGAAAGCCTCTTAACTCTCAAGTGAAACGAGGGTCATACGCAGCGCTCCTAGGTCCCTGCTCTCTCTCAAGGTTCAGGTTCAACAGACAGGGCACAGCCAGCTACGCCGTTGTCGTGCAAATCACAAGATGGGGATGTCGTACTTGACGGCGAAGGAGGGAGTCTAGTTGTGAGATTACGGTTCATCCAAGACTCCGTAGTGAAATACCTGAAGTAAGGAGCAAGCCGGAAGATGAGAAGTGGGGAATGGGTGACTATACTCTAGCTCGCTGCGGACGCTTAGCCGTGTCAGGCAGTATGAGTTCAAGCCGTCAAAGCCGTTCCCTACCTTCTTGTTGAAGGGCTCATGCGACAAAAAGTAGAAAACGAGTAATATGAACGAAATGATACAGCCACATCATTTGGTCGCTTTAACAACTGGTGAAGAACGGTTTGGCACCGCGCCAAACTCTCACCGCTTGACACGCCCCACCGTCCGCAGCGAGCTAGACTATACAAGAAGTTCGGTGGCCACCCACACGTCATGAGCCAATAAACAAACGAAACGCATTATATGCTCGGAAATTTCTGAGCACTGTTTGCACTAATTTGCTTTATCTAGAAGTTAAACCTTTCCAATATGTGTGCGAGTCAGGTGCAGGGCGCAATACACAGGTGATGTCAATCGACGCCGAATGAAGCAGCATTACCCGACAACACAGAAGGAAAGATATGTTATAGATGTGTCAAGTCTTCAAACGAACTGGAAATGGTATTGCCCGGAGGGGTGGATTTTGTGTCTCGCTTAAACCTATCCACAACAGTAACACAACAGGGAATTTCCTAACTAGTACGCATGATAAAGAGTGCATTCAGGGGAGCAGGGCACATCGTTGGTGGGATTCCCAAACAGGGGCAGGGGGTCGTATTTGAGCTGAGAAAAATTTATCTCTAGTCGACTTTTCTTGTTCCATGGACGTTGTAAAAGGAGGCGGGGGTCGTATTTCTCTTCTGACCCTCTGGGAAGGGGTTGCCGACTTTCCGTGGTTTTTCCTGTTTCATGTGCAGTGTAAACCCCCCTTCCCCCTCGCCTCGCTCGACAGCAGGATTATAGGGAAAGGGGAAAAGTAGGAAAATTTTCGGGAAGTTCCGGGAAAAAGCGACAATTGAAGTTGGAGAAAATCTAAGAAATGGTAGAGAGCAGAGTCGTATTTTTCTAATGGCTTCCCGTTTCACGTGTGCCATCTACCCGCACCCCCCCCCCGACCAACCCCCCCGCCCCTCCAAAAAGAAAGGGGGATGTGCGGACTCGATAACAGTCCCTAACTAATGATGTGTCCTGTTGGAAGGTTTCGACACTGTTATTGGTTCCACAAAAGGTTACATATGACGTGCTATGGTTATCCAAAGCAAAAGTTTGTAGACGATAATAAATTTCTACAACTAATCGCAACGGGTATAGTGCTTAAAACAGAATGTCTCGAATGGCTTAAGCACAATTAATCAAAACCGAACTTAGAGCCTCACAACGCCGCTTTTTTTTGCTTCAGAAGTACTACTTTTAAAAACGGCATGACTATTTAAAAATGTTACTTATGGGAATTCTGGTCTCTGTAAGGTATCGCGAAACAGCGTACTCCAGTGCAATGACAGGAATGTCATCTGGGAGAGGGATGGCTGTGCTGAGACCCCTTCTGAGGAGGGGGGGGGGAATGCGGAAAAGACGTGTTTAGCGCAGTTTTCACACAACGTGATGGCGCACCTTAAATGCAGCATCTTGTGTGATACCAACTGGAGTACCGTGGTTGGCTTGGAGAGAAATTGCTCCAATTGTAGTTTTTTCTGCGCGACTATGCCTCTCTGCGCCCAACACTTATATTCCCTCGCTTGGCTGACGACGCCGAAAAATATTTCTGGTCAAGGTTCCCACCGAAAATTTTCGAAAACTACGACACCCCCATGATTCCCCTCCCCCAATTCTCTCTTCTGATACGAACCTCCCCCTTCCCCATCCTACCTACCACTTTCCTAGATCCTCCTAACTTCCCCAAATTTTGTTGTCGAGAAGGGGAGGGGCAGGGAGGTTTTCAGCGACCAACTACACACTGGTGTGCAAAAATTAGGGACGAGATGGATAAAGTAATATAAAACACTAATGACTGGTAGAAGTAAAGGAAAGTGTGGGAGCATGTTGCCACTCGCCTAAGGGATATGCACAGGAAGCTAGACTTTTCTCGGTGGAAGAAGAGCTTGTACAAAGTGCCAAATATGGCCGACAGCGCAAATCGAGGCAGTCTATGGGTATGAAAAAAATCTGGATGACTTCACTCGAGGAAGGATCAAAGGGAAACTCGAATAAGGTCGAAACATGACGAGTATAGCCCACGAGTTCGGTATCGCTCACAGCGTTGTTTCACGTGCATGGAGAGCGTTCCGAACCTTTGGTACTGCTGCCCGAAGACGAGGAGGTGGCCAACCAAGCACAACACACCAACGGACGACCGCTACATTGTGCAGCAGGCAAGAAGAGATCCTCGTCAGTCGGCTTCGGCTATTGCAGCGAGGTTTAACAGGACTCTAGGGCAAGGCATCTCACGCACTACAGTGGCAAGACGGCCGCATGTTGGTGGTCTCTTCGGCCGACGACCGTTACGTTGCGTTCCTTTGACCCGCGCGCAACGGCGAGACCGTTTACGGTGGTGCCAGGAGCATGACGAATGGACCGATGGAATGGAGCCGTATGCTCTTTTCGGATGAGAGCAGGTTCAGTCTGAGCAGCGATTCTGGACGCACCCTCATATGGCGAGAGGTGGGAACACGTAACTCCCCCGGAGTCATTGTCGAACGTGATCGTACTGGTGGTCGAGGTGTTATGGTATGGGGAGGCATCATGTTGCATGGCCTCCAGATTTTTGAGCATGGAACCCTCACCAGTCAGCGTTACTGCGGCGAGGTTCTCCGTCCGTCTTTCCAGAGCTGCAATCGGCCCTGACTTCATTTTCATGGATGACAATGCGCGACCGCATCGAACAGCAACAGGTGGAAGAGCTTCTAGAACGAGAGCAAATCCGACGAATGGAGTGGTCCTCCCCCGACCTAAATCCCATCGAGGATGCACTGGGTAGACGCATTGCAGCACGACCAAATGCACCAGTGACGATCCAGCAATTGTCAAATGCACTGATTGAGGAATGGAAGGCCCTGCTCCACGAACTCATTACCAACCTCGTGGAGAAAATGGGATCGCGGTGCAGAGCATGTATTGCTGTCCGTGGTGATCACACACCCTATTAGGATCCGTGTAACTTCTTTTGTAGCACCATGATAAATCGTGAAGACTTATGTGTAATCGACATGGTTGAATAAAAATGTCATAACAATTCGTCTTATTCAGAGTTTCTGTCAGTTGCTTTTTGTACAATATCGTCAAGGTTTTTTCTCGATATGATATGAATTTCATCGAGCTATGTTGTCTGGCAGAGGCACAGTAATCGAAAGTTGCTTTCGTCCCTAAGTTTTGCCCACCAGTGTAGTTTCAACGATCAGAAATAGTAGTTGTATAGAATTTTGGCGGCCCTACCAACAAGAGGGTTACGATATACGACCCTCTCCGTGAAACAATAGAAATCACTATCAAAAAAATTTCCTGAGACCAAGTACGACCCTCCCCCCCCCGCGCAGAATCCCCAACGTATGTCGTAGTCCGTTTCTGGTAGTCGATTAAGGCTGTCTACTTTCCTCCCTTTGACGGCCAAATTTTTTAAGATGGTGTTGGTTGTGGCGAGGGTCATACCGAGGAAAAACATTGAGAATGGGGTCCTGATACATCCACTGCACCCTCTGTGCTATATCTTGTCCTTTTTAAGTGAGTGTACAGTGCTGCCGTGGACTGCCAAAAGACTGCTTCTGCTGACGAAGCCTCAAACATTGCAGCGGTACATCGTCGCTGATATTCGTGCATGAGCGCGACCCCTAAACGGTTAAAGTATTATCTGACGGTTGCTCTATTTGCAGCTCGCCTCAATCGTCTTGAAAGCCTTTCTTTATAGACCTGAGGATAGGTTTTCAAGTCGAGATCGATGCCAATGAAAGGCTCATCACATAGTGAATCTCCCTTCCAAATCGAGAGGCCTCTCAAACCACTTTGGCACCAGCAAATACTGTCCTCTGGATCCGCCTAAGTTGGGCCCATCAGTCTACATTCGCTTGACCACAACGATTCTTCCACGCCTTTTCTTACCGCAGTTAGTAAGCATTGTTTTTATGACAGTAAGCATTGTTTTTATGACCCCTTCGGTCAAAATGTAGTCGTACATTCGGTAACTACAAAGCCCTTAGCACCCTTACTTCACGATATCTTGGATGCTCCCGCGAACAATACCACATTCTTTGCTATTGAACACGAATAGGAATAGGTGAGTAGGACCTGACTGCCTAGACTGAAGGTGGTTGATCACGTTTTTCTTCATATCAACATGCCTTCAGTTCTGCACTGACTGGCAGTCTTCTGGTCAGTATAAAGTGAAGCTTTGATGAAGGTGGAGCTCTCCAAACTGCGCAATCTACGGAGTGCTTTTACGAGACGAACAGTGGCGATACGAAGAGAGACTCAAAGTGTAACAGCTTGTCAGAAAGTACCGAAAAATGTTACAATAGGATCTGCTATATAACTGCCACTAAATGCCGGAAAAAATGTGGGGGGGGGAAAAGGAAAGGGCAATACTTCTCAGCCACCTCGTGTATAGCCAGAACATAGACGACCAGAGTCGCCATAGCGCTTAGGAAAAAAATTCCAAGCCATGCGAAGCTTCAGCTCCGCGGTTCACGGCTGATATCGGCTAATCGGCTAACTGCGTTGAAGGTGCTAATGCTCTAAGCCTGTGGCATAAAAGCCATCGGACAGAGGGGTAAGAACCGCCCTGGTGGCACGACGGATAGCTCACTCACATGACAAAACGAGGAGCAGGCCAAAGTCCCGCCCTGGGTCAGAACTGTTGCCCATGAATCAGCGTTCTTGTGGACCTTGCCTAGTTCAGGAAAAAAAATCAGTATACAACTGTTCTTTTTTCCTTCACTTCATGACCGTAGCAGCTGAAAAGAACATCCTCTCATTCACAGATCTTCACCGCGGAAATGGAAAAAGGATAAAGCCTTTATCACACGAATGCTGAGTTATGCGCAAAAGTCGGACCACGGGATCCCGTCCGTGGTCCGACTTTTGCCCATAACTCAGCATTCTTGTGACAGCTTTCGGATCGCATACTGCGGCGTTAAACAGCAGTTATCAAAACACTAACAGCTCGAAAGCCTTTATCATTGATCTCTCTTTGAGGTTGAGATCTTTGAGGCACGATGAACAAGTTAGTGTTTATTCCCAGGCCAGTTTGGTACTACTTCACCTCCCCGGAGAGGTAAAAGGCTTGCTTCGCCTAAGAGGTAATCCGGGATTTGACTCATGAACGAGCACATGGTAAGAGAGGCTATATACTACACTACCTGGAGAGCATTTATCTCGAATGAGGGAGGAGGTAGAAGCGGTTCGGCATATGGCCATCTCCAAACGCGAGCAATAGGAGCTCGAGTGGATTCAGCGTAGTCTATACTGTGACCGCCACACGTGCGGTACCGCGCATCTCCTGATGGAGTGGTAGCAGAGCACCCAAATGACCGAGGCTTTGCCGCTATAGAGCAATGTAGAACGTACTCACCATTCATGAAAGGTCAACAGGTCGTCAGCCTGGCCATTTGCAATGAGATGCACATTACTGTGCTAATCTTGACACGGTGAACTCAGAACTGTCTTCACACTTTGCAGAACGATTCTCTGGGCGGAGTTATGGAGGTTTTTCTTTACTGTTTTTCTTCTTAAGGGCGCGCTGGCGCCGAAACGCTGGCACATGTAGCGCGACTGCGCTCTTCGCGCAAAACAGGTATCATTTTTGTGTTCAGGGCGTTCAATAACCCTAGGGACGTCACCTTAGCAAAATCTGAGCTTCTGATTCAACTTCGAAAAAAATGGGGTATGGATAGTCATGGCTGATAGCTCACAGCGATACTATGACTAGCACACTGGTTATGACTGGTCTTCGAACTGAAATAGTTCTCCAGTCATGTCTTTTGGCAAACAACAGTACCTGGCATACTTATTTGTGCCGTCTGCACCATTTTCCCGAATACCGGGATTCCATCCCGAGGCCAGTCATCGATGGTAGATGAGCTCCAATCTGCTGCTAATTAGCCATGGAATAGCCTATATTTTCCAGGTGAGGTCGAAAAATCAGATTCGGCTACAAACTTGTCCCCAGGGGTAATTTAACCCGCTGAACATGAATATGATGGTATTTCATTGCAAAAACCCTCGTGACACGTGTTACGAGGGGTACAAGCAGAAGCACTCCTTCAGGCCACAATGAGTCTACACTTTCAAAAAAAAATCTGGTCGCAGGTTCCCTTATAAGGTAGTGCAGGCGAGCAGAGATGTTAGAAGCTTTGTCGGCTATTTTCTTGGACAAATGCAAAAAAGCGACCTGCCCCGGAATCGACCCTACAGCGTCTCGCCATAGAAACCCGCTCCCTACCCATTGCGCTCTGCTACCACGTTTCAGAACGACTCCACACATAAATGTAAAGACGCTTCCACGTTTCCTCGCGATAGCATGTGGAACTACCATGCGCGGATAAAACCCTCCATAACTCCACTCAGAGAATCATTCTGCAAATTTTGAAGACAGTTCTGAGTCCAGTGTCCCAAGACGTGTGCAGCTCATTGGAAATGG